TCTATAATCATAACCTGCCGCACTCGGTCCAGCTACCATATGGGGCGGGGGCTGATTGAAGGGCGTCACCCAAGCCTCATCCCGATATGGATGTGTTTGTCGGGCAAGCATTGCAGCAGTCTGAGGTGAGGTAATGTGCGTTTGCTGTGGTGCGATGGCATTTGGCGCTTGCCATGATTGTGGCGGGGCAGCTGTTGGTGGCTGCATACCTCGAGGCGGTGCGTGCATTGGATGACCGTACACAGGATAAGCGTAGGATGTTTGAGGCGGATGGACCATGGGATCCCCGGGGGGCATGGGAGGCATTGCTTGCGGATGTGGAGCCATGGACTGCATTGGAGTCGGCTGAGATGTGGAGGGGCGCGTCTGATCAGTCTGGGACGGGACGATGGTAGGTGGCGTGACTCTGGTAAGGCCATTCAACACGGGGAAGACCGATCGGTAAAAAGAAAAACAAACTTCTCCGTTCCAGTGACCTTACAACCGGCCCAGTTGTTCTGGAACGTTTGAAGAGCGCCAGCACGGACGCACTCATGAATCCAGCGATAATGGAGAACAATTTTACCCTTTTTACCGGCGTACTGGCGGTACAAGTTTTGGCCTGATTCCTTATGTGGATCGACTAAGATGCAGTTGCATGAATTGTGGCGGACATGACAAGAATGTGTACTCACCAAGAATGTATGGCGTCCCACTGTACCCTGGTGATGATGTGCCGCCGTGTTTCTGCCGAAGATGGGATTTAGTAACATATCGTCGACGGTTCAAATACACATGATCCAATCCGTACGATAAGTAACTAAAGGATGGCCTACCGTTACGAGTTCGACGAGCGCGTCTCTATCATCCACTTCCTTCTCGATGTACACATTGAGGGGAGTTCCCATCATGGGCTCGAGAAAGAGGTCGCCACCGGGGCTATCAGCGGTGGGCGATGCATCCTGGCCAGAGCGTAAGGATATACTTTGTTCATGCTGATTGCGTCTGGTGGAACGCGCTGGTGCCATGGGTCTCAGCCAGGACTCCTTGATGTAATGATAGAAGTGGTGGTTGGGGTCAAGTTTCTGAGGCGGAGTGGCAGGAGGCTACCGGCCGGCGGAGATCAAAATGCACCGGAACCCACCGGTCCAGTCACATTGCACATCTTAGTATAGGTTATCTTATCTAGCGCGCAAGATAGAGAATTCTCCCTCGCAAGTAACGTTAACAACGTTCTGAACGATTCATGGCAGTTGCCCAACCTCTGGAGTACCTTTCTCAGGCGCAGATCGACAAGGTTGGTAACCGGGCACCTGAATCTTCCGTCATCCCTGATATGTGATACGTCCGTCAGTTCTATAGGGATGGGTAGGTCAGACATATAAGAGACCTGCTGCTCTCACTGACCGGCGGCCTACACAGATATTTAGTTGTACCTAGCTTTCTCTCGCAAGACCAGACAAGTTCTCTTTTGTTCCGGGCAAAAGAGCTCCTTGATGAATTTACACCAGAGGACCATCCCATGGTAAGTACACTGGCACCATCTAAATTACAAATATTCAGGACTCTTGACTTGTGGCAGACCAAATTCACAACGTCGGATAAGAACCACGTTGGTGACAACTACTTTCTGAATTCAGGCGACAAGATCCGATATTTCCTTGACGAAGATGCTGTTGATAGTAGTGGGAAACTTACCAGGGATAAAGCAAGGGCAGTAAATAAGATCGGTCATGGTTCGTTGCCCATCCACACAACTATTCATATCCATCTTACTTAAGTTAGCTCTTCATGAATTGGACCCCGTTTTCCGGAACGTTACTCTGGAAAATAACCGGCTGAAGGCTCTAGCGCGCGACCTGCGATTCCACCATGATCCAGTTGGTACGGATCATATTCAGTCATCACGCACCTGCTGGGGACTGATATAAACCTGCTAGCACTGCAATCAATGGTTATATTCAAACAGTCACAGACAGGTGGCGCAGGTGAGTAACTGGCGTCAGGCGGTAGCATCATTTCAAGTAGCTAACGCACCAGCCTTGAAGTGCCCGAACACAACGATTCGTAAGTAACGAGTTACCGGTGTTGAATCCAAGTCTAAGATTGGTCATTTGACTATTCAGCACGTTTCTTGTGAGTATCAGTCTTTCCCACTGTTTACATGCTATATCCATAATACATCATATATAGTACACGTCACCCCCAAGTGCTCTTGGGTTTTGGATAGCTCTTGAGAAGTGCACGCCCATGAATGGTGCTCTGTCGTTCTTGCCCGGATCCCATCTAACAACTCCGATCACGAAGAGATTTGTACGTTTACCAGGGGGTGGTACCGGTTTCGAGCAGCTTGCCACCCCTCCGCCTCCTTCGTCCGACATGAGCGAGAAACAGAGGGAGACTGCATCAGAAGGTGTATCAGAAGGAAACTATGTGCTAGAAGCTTGCGAATCAGGTAGATGGTTATGTGTGCGTTAGATGATTATGGCTGAACATTAGATGCTAGGTGATCTCGTCCTCATCCACGGCAGCGTCCTTCATAAGTCGGAGCGTAATACTAGTGCCCACACAAGATTTGCATATACTTTCCACATGATTGACTCGTCCCCTTACGCCGAATACGACGAGAAGAACTGGCTTCAGCCTACTGATGCCATGCCTTTCTCCAGAATCTTGGACGTACCAAATGAAATTACTCTTTCCACCGTTGTACATTAACCGGATCTATTTAGAAGATCGTAGTGCATGTGAAATTCAGTCGCTAATATGTTTTTTCGCATTGCCCGAATATTCATCCACACGCCATGCTGTAAGAGCAAGGTTACAATACTTGAACTTTTGCCCTAGACAACAGTGTCTCGGGCTTCAAGTTGTACAGCTCATCTATGAGGGCTGGGAGAAATGTTCCAGATCCATGAACGTCGCTTCTTTCTGCTGCACACTCGGCTGCCACCGTTAGAGCCAGAACACTACGATCATTAGTCAATGTTGTTGTACGAAATTATTTGATCAGATTGTGACTTACCCACCAACAGCGCCTATCAACATGTTTCCCCTGACGAGCTTCGCGAGCTCAGGTCCAGGGCTTGTTCCAGGGGCAGCGGCCATAAGTGAGGCACCAGCACAAAACGTAGCAACACAGGTGCCAACAATGCATCCAGACCCTGTGATGTCACCGAGCATCTTATTGCCGTTCTCCAATTTCACTACAGTGACACCATCAGATACCCAGTCTGTCGGCCCCGTCATGACAGCGACGCAACCTTATGGCGGATGCTTTTTAGATACATGTACTCGCGATACCCACGGAAAACTTACGCTCTTTCTTGGCTATCTCACGAATAAAAGATGCTGGATCTGCAAACCCAGAGCCAACACTATCAACCCCTTTAGCCTGCACCTGCAGATAAATAATATAAATTTGCAAGATCCACACATAAGTAGGATATGTGCCACAGACTTCGTTTGAGTTAGCGAGAGAAGCCATCTCGCCAGCGTTTCCTTTAATAACGCTAGCCTGCCATGCATTCAGGAGTTCTGAAGCTGTCGTTTTCCTGAACTGAGTAGCGCCCACTCCAACCGGATCGAAAACTACGGGTTTTTGTGCTTCATTTGCGTATTGCCCTGCAAGAATCATGCCACCTTTGTTCGTGATGGTGCCAAAGTTTATGAGTAAACCACCCGGAATGCGACTGAGATCATGCATCTCTTCAGACGCGGTAGCCATAATCGGACTTGCACCCAAGGCTAAGGTAGCATTCGCAGATTGGTTCGTGACCACGACATTTGTGATCTGTGTGACAGTCAGTGGACAGGCAACAGAACGTAAGAGATCATCTACTTGATGGATGAGTGGACTCTTGTCTCGTATCAGCCGCATAAGTTCGACAACGCCGTTCTTGATGGTCCCCACATCGTACACTGGGGTCACTCGACTCTGAACATCGAAATGGTGAATCCATACATCGAGGATGTTCCTTAACCTTTGAGCAGCGGAACGGGGTGCTGAGGATGCCACAATATCGGAGACCACAGCAATACCATCCAACCTGTGTCCAGAGATTGACACAGAACCATGTAAAGTTCTCAGAGCGTTAGTGGAATTTATCCCCCCTGGGAAACAGGTCTTTAGACATCACAGTGGATGTAGTATATGCATTTCTGCATACCGATTGCAACGGCCTTGATGTTTGTGCCATCCAGAGCCTGAAGCAGTGAGCCAACCCCTCTGACGCCAACGACAGGGCTAGCCAGCTTCTTAGTTGTCGTACTCCAGACGGCACCGATGCCAATATAATCAACTTCGTCCTCTATTGCTTTCTTCACGTGGTCTGGGTCGTTGCAAGAGACACCAATCACAGTACCCACGGGGAGTAAAGTTTTTGCGACATGAACTGGCATGTCTGTTTGCCCCAGATGCACACCATCGGCTTGTATGGCGAGCGCGATGTCGATACGGTCATTGATGATGAGAGGAACCTTGTATTTTGCACAGAGGATCTTCGACTCTCGTGCAATTTCCAAGAACTGGAGCAAATCATTCGAAAGGGCAATGCAGAAACGAACGACTACTTCTCACTTCTAGTGTATCAGACCTCTTTTCTCGGATCTGAACAACGGTTACACCGCCTTGCAAGGCCTAGAAGAGTTAGCATGAACAGAGGTGCCAATCAGCACGTGCCGTTTATGCTCCCGAAGGAGAATGAATCAATGATGCCCAGACCTCTTCCAATGATTCTAGATATTCCTAAAAACGAGGGAGCGGCTTTAATGACGCTTGAAATCATGGGTATCTCTGACCTTTCCTGGTGGCAGTAGCTCCCGGCCTGTGACCAAGTAAAGTGAAAAGTCAATTGTCATTATTTGATGATAACGATAGTCCAAGTGGTCACAGAGAAAGAGAGAGGATGTCGTCAGCTCACGGCATGTTCCTGATAAGTGCCAAGAGGGGAAGTGTGAGTACATGCGATTGTGGGCTCACATATACTTTTCACCTTATGTAATAAGTGCACCCGTCTTGTAGAGACTCGCTTATATCGTTCATGCATCATGATTCAAATATTCAAGCACGACTTATTTGCGCTCTGTGACTTCAGGTATGCACTTCAACAAACAAATCTTGCCAATTTCCTGCGGCCAACAAATAGGCTTTATTGAAAATACGACTAGCAGAACAGAAGCTGTACTTCCCACTGATCTTCCAAAGCAGGTAATTCGGATAGGAAGACCCTCTCTGCCCCACTCAGGCTAGCTGCCCAATTTTTTCTGTCAGAGGGTTAGCGCTTCACTTCGCTTGGATACTGCGGATTTCGTTAGTGCATGCACACATGTGAATTCTCGCTTGCTCCACGTTAATATCAAGTTGAAGTATCACGACATCACATATTCCTCGCTCCCTCTTCCCATCTTCTAGCTCCCCTGAAGTGGTGCTTGAAGATATAAAAGTATGTTCGCTCAAGAATCCCTCACATCTCGATTATACCACCTCGTCATGGATCCTGCTACACTCTGGTGGACCTTTTCCAGTCTTGCAGCCACACTTATGGTTTTTCGACTGTCCACCGTGCCATCACACTTGCGCCATCTCCCTCGTGTGCCTATTTTCCCTCTTCTGATCAGTTATCTCTCAGGTGAGGTCGAGGATGTGCGTATCAAGCGCCTCATTCTGCCATACGCAAACGAGAGAGGTGAAGGACTTGTTCTCGTGTGGGCGCTAGGCCGATGGATGGTTCACATTATTGATCATAAGGTATACATTTCGTGTTATCGCTAAGCTCTTATTTGACCTCATCCAGCTTGCGGTTGAAATGTTGGAGGACCCTCTGTTATACCCGAAAGAGTTACCTTCCGATGGTCTCTTGTTATGGCGCTTCATCGGGGGCTCAAACATCCTCATGACAAATGGTGACCGGTGGAAGAAACATTCTAGGGTCATCCGAGACGCGTTCAATCTCTCTATCCCTGTCGACCAGTTCACACACCTGTCCAGGAATCTTTTTGACGTCATTAACCCGCCCTCGGATAAGAATGACACACATACTGTCGACTTTGCCAACCTCGCACAGCGTTTTGCTCTCGATGCAGTTGGGTCTTCAGTCCTTGGGCATGACTTTGATGCCATTCACACCGAGTCTTTGTTCGTCAAAGAGTACAATGGCATTATGCGCGATATTGCCAATCCCTTTTACCTGCTTATGCCCTTCCTCGAGAAGGTCTTCCCTCGCAGGAAAGTCGTGAAGCGTATGGACGACTTGGTCGACAAGTTTCGAATGCTGCTCCAAGCAAAACGCACCGACCCTGGAGATGACATGATGACTTTCATGCTTAAAGAACCTACAATGTCCGAGGACGAGCTTCGTGATAATATGGTCGTCCTCTTCATAGCTGGCCATGTAAGTCAAATTCGCTGCATTCGATAGCATGCATTAATCACAGCACATATGTTAGGATACTTCTGCGGGAGGTATCTCCACTCTGATTTACTTCTTTGCGATTCATCCAGAAATTCAAGCCGCGGCGCGCGAAGAAACTCTTCGCATTCTTGGACCTACTTCTGATCCCAGTGTTGATACCCTCTCCGCTGCGTCATTGCCTTATCTCAACGCCTGCATCCGCGAAGCTCTTCGTATCAACACACCAATCTCATATATCGTCCCTCGTATCACTGCGGAAGATGCCACCCTTGGAAAGTACTACATTCCATCCAACACTTCACTCATTTACAACATCTACGCCCTCCATCACCGCAATGACGTCTGGGGTGACCCTAACGTTTTCAGGCCCAGCCGCTTCCTCGAGAAGACCCAGGGGAGCTCGAGTCTCAAGGATGCTTGGGTTGCTTTCGCCTCTGGACCTCGGCAGTGCCCTGCTCGTAACTTTGCACTCTACGAGCAGCGTGCCCTAACCGTGATGTTGCTACGGGAGTACGAGTGGACATTACCGGCAGATTCAATTCATCAGGATGGTTTGAAGAACGCCTTCTCCCCTTTTGCCCTAACGCTCCCCCACGACCTTCATATCGCTTTCACAAAGCGCAAATAGTGAAGGATGACGCTCCTCATGATCATTTATGTCATAAGTTTTTTTTTTTACATCAGTCATTAGTTTCGCCACATGTCGCCTAAGGTACTTGTTTAAGATTAGGGATAACGTTTGATTATAACTGCATTCAATTCAATAGAACCTGATGCAGACTGTTTGAATGATTTAGTTTGTTGTCGTAATACTCTTTTCGTAGTCATTTTGCAGATATTACATATGTAGCTATGTTCCGTCGATTCATCCACTGTTGCGTCAATGATATGTAAAGAATTTGGTGTTCAGTATAAATATTGCCGGGGCCCAGTAGTCTAGCTAAAAATGATACAGATACTCAGATACGTATAATAAGTGTTGTTCAATAAACGAGATACTACGTCCTTGCATATGCGACCCGCGCATCAAACGATAAGCCCACTCCTTCGTGCTTTGGCTTCCTTCCTTTTTCTGGCCCATTCCTGTTCTTTCGGAGGAGGATCAATGGCTCTCCAGTCCCCCCACATGCCCGTCTTGAAGATGGCTCTGATATTCGGAACGAGCAGCAGAGCAACGGCCAGCCAGTCACTAAGCATATGGAATATGTAGAATGTTGCCTTTTCTAAAGCAGTGTTACCTGATCCCGATGCTATCGATGTAAGGGAGGTTGTCCGGTGATACATGAACAACAGTCGGAAAATCGCAGAGGATGCCTGTACATTGAGGGAAACTTATTATGTAAACGAACAGAGCGGAAAACGCGGATCCTTACGTTGCAAGCGAGGATGGCAAGAAGTAGGGTAACGTGAACCGGCTCCACTTTGGGTAGCTTTCGGGCGCGAACGACCAGGGCTGCCACGAAAAGTATGAGGAAGAGAGCGATGGCGGAACTTATATATCTAGACAAAGATGTTTATGTAAGATCGAGCTTTGCGGGTGAAGATCTGATGCACCTGGTGATCATCACCTCGTTGGCTGTGCTCTCATTATCCATTCCACCACGGTAATGCGCGTTACCAATTATACCTGGGATAGTAGCGGCGAGGAAGCCCAAATTCAACATATCGGTAACCCAGCGATAGAAACCCCGTTTTTTTGGGTCGTCATGTATGTCATCCGAAAGATGAAGCGAAGCACTGTGAAATGGGGAAAGAGGATGCATAGAGGATGACATCGAAGCAGCGACGGGTGAATCTTGCGGATCTGTAAAACTTGCTTGACCCTTGGTAGAGTTTACATACATGCAGCGCAGAAGAGCCACGACGTCGTGTGCTATGGAGATATATGGTAAAGCGATCGAGACTTGCATATAAGTCGTCAATGCCGGGGATATCCTTTCCACTGGACTGCAGGATTGCCAGGCTCGTAGGGAGAAGATTATGGTTCTGGGAAGGTAACATGAGGCAACTTGCATAAAGGCAGGAGGGAGCTGTTTTTACCTTTCTATGGCTGTAATGATTGCATTAATGCTCACGATGACTCGCGAATGCTTGTTATATAGCCGCACAACGAAGATGGGTATGAGCGAGAAATATAGTGAGGAGAAAAGGATTGATGTCCAAAAGTCAGAAGTCATTGGAACACCACCAACTGGTGATGGGAACGGATTGTCACTTGACATCACCCATTGCAGGCTCGGGGGACGGGTCGAGCTTTGGAAAAAAGTAGAGGTCAAAAACAGGCCAAAAAGAACGACAACAGAAAGGATAGCCATTCTGAACCTGCGCATTCAAGGGAAGGATCAGCGCATCCAGCTTGAATATACATACTTGAAGCTGCGCAGCATGTGGATGTCGCGAGTCTGAAAGGCCTGCTTCAACGAGGCCAAGATGCAGTGAACTTATACACCTGCCAAATTTGGGATGGCATCAGAAGAATTGGAAATTGGTGGGCAGACTCGGCAAATTCCAGCGGAGCCAGCCACTGCCAGCCACCAGATAAACATTTTGAATTGGCTGACTATATGCTGCTGATGTCATAACTGAGGTATCCGTGAATGTGACTGATCAAAAATGTCGCAAATGCATCTGGGCAAATAAAACACATACAGAACCATTGGCTTCGTAATTTGCTTGTAGCATCCCCCAGATTTGCCTCGAGGAAGGATATCCCGACTCTTTGCTGGCAGTTGCCAGTGCCACCTCGCTACTTCTATGACCGCCTATTGCCACCGAAGGTGCTGTCAATAGCATCCTCCATTTAGACACCACTCGAACCACAAATAACCCAACTAGCCTGCTCATTCCCCTTCCCACCCACATCTTCTCCTTGGAGATATTCAGTGAGATGTAATGAGGACAAAGCTAGTGTCGCTCAGGCTGTATAATATCATATTCAAGAGGCTGGTACGACGGGGCAAGGTACTGAGATCGAGAAATAGCATGGTGATCGTATACTGGATAGTGGCCCGGTAGAATCCATGACCCCGTGCGTGGTGTTGCCTAGCGGTAGCAGGAGCGGTGTGTTCATGTGACCGGTGGGGTGCTCGGGTGGCGCCTGCACATCTTCAAATTCCACGAGAATACCGCCATCTGTACCCAACTTTTATCCAGACCGGCCATTTTAGAGACGCCCTCGGAAATTGCGACACTCTCCGGATAGAGTTGCACGAGGATAGATGACGGAAAATCTCAACCGGACTGTCAGAGCTTGGTCCAAAGTACTGGACGGGTGCCATTGTGCCGGTGGTATCGAGAACAGTTGGGATGAACGATAGCTTGAACAACGTTAAGTTCTTCTCAGAGTATTCGGCCAAGAATCCTGACAGTCACCAAATCCAGGATGGTGACGGATCACGCGCACGAATCAGGCCTAGGATTCAGCTGTCAGGACGTGTCTCCTCATGCGGGAAGCTCGGGTCTTCCCGATACTTTGATCTCAGGCTAATGGTTTTTGACAATGACATACGACTATCATTTCTTCTTACCTGGTGCACACAAACCCCTACCTCAGTACTAGTGCATTCCCACAGCAATTCAACGGACCCACACGACAATGATGAAAGGCGACATTCCTACGATATGATCGCTCACCTGTTTTTCGAGATGACGAAATGATCCTTGTCGGACGTGAAAGCTTATGACTCAGAACAAACTTATCCTTCTTTAGAACGAACTTATCCTTCAACCCTGATAAAATAACGATGTCTCTGTCGTACTTGTTTGGCCTCGGCGACAATACGTGGCTATCGATTTTTCTGGGTCAGTACACAAATATCGACACAAACATTCTCTTTGATTTTCACGTCCACACAGATGTAATTGTCCCTCCATGCAAAAAAAATGGAATCGTGTATCATTTTTGTTTCAAAATCGACTATTTTTTTGTTTTGTTTTCAACTTCAACCCATCTTTGTGAATGCACTGGCACTCTCGCGGAATGATATGTAAGGATCCTCTACGCGCCGACCAAGACTTCAATAGCACGACCACGTGACTCAACCGATGCGAAGAGCGTTACTCTTGGCATCCGAGCCTGAGTTAAGTTACGTGGATACATCCCCCTTCGTACATACTTTACTCTTTATCGATCCCCGTACCTTCACCGATATCTTTGACTTCATCACATGCTCTCCGTACCCATTCTGGACTAGTCTGCCGCTCGACAACGTATATATACAATCCATGTACACTCATACTACCTACAGCGAATCCTATACTCAGATTCCCGCTCCAATCACGACTGAAAAGCCTCCTAGAACGTCTCCGTCTCAAACGTTTCCCTACTCGTCTCGATTATCCTTGCACGTGCCTCGTATCTAACTCGTCTCTGCTCACTTTCCCCTTCGGACTCGTTTAGCAGCCTTATATTCACCCTGCCTTGTTTATAACAGGTTCACAGCCACCGGAATTTACCTTACGGTCCCCTCGTACCATCATGACAACCAATCCGCGTATTATTTTCAACGAAATACCTCATGGCCTGCCAAATCCAAAAACAAGTTTGATCGTGGACAATACACTGTCTATTGATCTTGATAATGTACCACTTCAAGGAGGTATCCTCGTCAAGGCACTTGCCTTCAGTCTTGACCCCTATATGCGCAATCGCATGCGACCCGTTGACATTCAAGGAGACATTGATGCATTCTCCCTTGGCGAAACGTAAGCCAACTTGAAAAATATCAGAATTCGACGGATACTGGATGGTTTCACAGAATCAATGGTTTCAGCGTTGCTGTAGTCTTGCGAAGTGAGACGCCCTTGATTCAAGCCGGACAACACGTATATGGATTCATGCGTGCGTATACCCCTGATAAGGTTTGCGGCACCTATTATTGATTATGCTATTGTAGACTATCAACGCTACAGCGTCATCCCGTCAGTAGACGCTGCCGTGCTAGGTCTGAAAGGTTTGAGTCTACAAGTCCTTGACAACAAGTACAACCTCCCATGGCGATATTACGCTGGAATCCTTGGAATGAGTGGGCAGACAGCATATTATGGACTCAAGGACATTAGCAACCCAAAGCCGGGTGAAACACTTTATATATCTGCAGCGTGTGGTGCTGTAGGCCAGTACGTGTCATCCTATCATCTGTTGTTGTTTTATTTGAACATTTTCTAGCCTGGTGGTTCAGCTTGCCAAGGCCCAAGGACTGAAAGTCATCGCATCTTGTGGTAGCGACCAGAAGGTCTCGTTGGTGAAATCACTCGGGGCCGATCATGTCTTCAACTACAAAACTGCGGATACCGCTGCAGAGCTCAATGCACATGGCCCGATTGACATATACTTTGACCTTGTCGGTGGTCCGACACTCGAAGCTGCCATAGATAATTTAGCCTCCAACGCCAGAATCATCATCTGCGGGATGATTAGTCAATACAACTCGGGCGCGAACGAGGCGTATGGCGTTCGAGTGAGCACGTTTCCTCTTGCATATTTTAACCCCTAACAGCGGAAATAGAACCTGTGGTTATTGAACAGGTACCGAGCGAGGTAAGCTGTTCTAATGAATGCACTCCTTGCCCACGGTTCTCAATTTTCATTCACAATGCAGGATGCAGGGTTTGGTTGTGATTGACTGGGCAGATAAGTATCTGGATGAATTCCACGATACTGTCCCACGAGATTTAGCTGCTGGAAAATTGAAATATCTGGAACATGTATATCATGGTATGGACAAGGTCGGTGAGGCACTTGTTGATCTACTGGTTGGAAATAATATCGGAAAATCTGTACTGGTTCTCGAAGATGACACATAGTGACAGGCGCTACACATGTGCGTTGTACCCGACGATCGTATCCCTTGTTGTTTAACATCTGCATAATATGACATTCACAAGTTTCAACATGATCCATGTGACTTAGAGCTTGAGTAGAGATAACATTTCGATTGCATTACTCGTCGTTACAGGACAAAAGTATCGGGTATTATAAGTACACATTTGAATAAGCATAACGGGTGAGTCCATCCGAATGGTAAGTAACAGGCATATACATGTGGGGTCAAAGATCATCCTTTCATATCGGTCGCTCAGAATATTTCTTGAAAACCATCCACAGTTCGCAACTACCTCCTCGAACGCCTGTCACGGTAGTGTCCAAATATTCCACATGCTGCGGTGCAGGAGCCTAGAAGCAGCGCAACTAGCGCGCCAAGCGCAAGCCAGTTCGCATTTCCCCAATTCGCGTTGATTCCTTCGCTTCTCAAGCGATTTCTGACGGTACCGAATAAAGACATGCTGATGATCCATGCAACCAAAGTGCACAGGGTCGCAAGTCCAGCGAGTAAAGTCATAAGGACGGTGCCGGCCCTATGATATCCTGCACCACACACTCCGAAGAGGAATGCAAGACCGGAAAGACCAGCAGCAATTGGGTACAGGATGAGAACGAAGGTGAGACTGTGAAGAATTCCTGTGTTGATGTCTCCTGGTAGAGGGAAGTAGTAGCCAACTTGAACTTTGGAGCCCGTATAACCGAATACACCAAAGGCATATTGGTTGGCATTGAGAAAGGATATGCTGTTCCACGTTGGTGATGATACAGAAACCTGTCAACGACAAACACAGTACTGTCAAAATCATGATAACGATGATAAGATTAGATGTAGGAACATACAAAAATGAGGAGAAGCATTGCCGAAAAGCAGAAAAAGAGACCGGGAAGCGCGCCTGATGCTGCCATTGTGATGGTCTAACGGAGAGAGGATGAATAGACCTTTATGTGCGGGGAAAGCGACCTTTATTGGCTTTCAAGCCCAGCTGCGCGCGCTGCGGGTCACACTGGCAAATGCCAAGCTCGCATGACGTTGACCAGTGCAAACAGGAAATATGATGTCATCCCTCCATATCATTCAACGTGCACGTGAGCAAACTTGCACAGCATTAAATTATCGGAGACAAAACATTTTCCGAGCTACTACTTACACCTACTATAGCTAGACTCCGCACGTCCGCGCCAATAAATATTGTCACAGCCCCACAGTTCCTCAAGCTTTTACTCCTCCGTGCCTTGGAGCGGGCGATGCGAACTAGAGTATCTCGACACTTTAGGAATCAACAATATAAGGGCCATGACTCCACACGTATCGGAGGCCATAGTGATCATGATCGTGTGCGTAATTCCGTTGAAATTAATTGCTTGAATATTTACATCAAGTTCAGATTACTTGAGATGCCAGCCCGAACGTTCCATATATCTTGATGTTGAGCAGCTTGGACTAAACCATAGTTGGTCGGGTGTCGGGTGCAGTGCGCTTTAAAGGTACGCCGAGCTGTCTTGTCAAGTGAGACAGTTGAAGGAGGAAGCCACCTGTTCTTTTTAGCGTCTCTTTACACACCCTGGCATCCTATGTATCCGAGTCAGCGTGCTCATCATCATTTTCAGTTATTTCTATCGCGTATTCAGTGCTCACAAGCTATGAGCTCTCGAGAAATAACGAGCAGGGCGCGCCACGCATTCATTGGGCTGGCCTGTGGCAACTGTGTTAGACCATCGGGTGGTCGTTGCATATTCTGCCTTTGTGACACAAATTGGGCGACGTCAATGTGATTATAAGTGGGCAATGAAAGCATCCACTAGAGCATCCACACTTGTATCGTTTTCGACTTTGTGGTCGTGGATAGATGACATGGTGCGTCCACAGTAGTACAACCTATATATATTGAATTGCAGACATTCTCCACCACCAGACAGACTACTACCTCATATTCTTCGCAACTTTATATCCCTTTCCCCCATATCGATTATGAATCCGTTCAAGAAAATGTTCCAAAAGTGAGTCGACCGTTTACAGGTTCTACTCATCGTCATTATTGTAATCAATACCCCTCAGATCCAACGACGACAAGACGGCATCGCTTAAGCACTCCAAATCAATGCCATACCTCCTTTCTTTAGAAGGGAGGACGCGTGAGCACCGTGTTGATCCTAAACCCGTATACCGTGGCAAGACCCCCCTTAAAAAGTCCGACATCGTATACATCGAGCAAGCTCCAGGGATACTCGAGATCTATCATAAACTGTCGCAACATACCTACTACCATGAACCGACTCGCACGGACTTAAACACGCGTGGGGACTTGCTGGCCAAGTTTCCCCATTCCCCTGAACCAGTCGAGGGGCTCCCTCGCAGCGGTTTCAGAACGGTTTCTTTGAACTCAAAGGCTATTGAGCTCCAAGTGCCTGTCCATAATTCCCGTACAAGTAGCCAGCAAGCCTGCCCCTCCATTCCCCGCAGAACGCAGAGGCCTGTGGCCACCGTTGATCAAGCTTCTGCAGATGTACTGCAGATTCCTGACGAAAATACTCGCAGTGACAGACTAGCAGAACGTATTCCCGCTAATTCGAGCACTGGTCGCTCGTACACCCCTGTTCCTATCACCCACTCTCCACGACCAGTACTCTCGCGCTCTGCACACAGCTCACGCGTACACATTCCTCACGTCCCATCCCGTATCGCCATACCAGTGCCTGCTGCGCCAGATCATAGACATCCTTCCCGGCCTCACAGGCGCTACCATGAATTTTATGGGCAGCAGGACCCAGAGGTCATCCTTGGAATGATCAATAAATATCCTATAGCGCCTCTTCGCAGCGAACGTACCCCAGAGCACTTGCGCCCCATTCGTTTCGATATCGTCGATCCGCGATACTTCCAGGAGGAGTTTATGAAGAACATAGAGACGGCCGTTGACCAAGGTCGTCCCCTTGATGTACGCGTGGGTGGCCAATGCCGCCGCATCATTGACGTGGTCGACCCAATGTGTATCGTTCCGGAGACTAGCAGGGATCTTGTACATCAGTGATCTTGCGAAGACGGAGGTAGTTTGCGCAGAAAGAGATTTGGTGTTGTTCTACTTCTTCGTATATGTTATGTACATTCGTATGCATATGATTTATGAAATAAAAATTATGTACCATTCGAAGGAGATCATCGTCTGCTTACTGTAACGCACGTACGCTTTTACTTAGATGGTGATTGTCAAGTGCAGTCGGTTTATCACATCCGGTAGAAACATCAAAGAAGTATTCTTGTCATTCTTGTATCACCAGATACGCTTCACCATCGTAAAGCGAGTCAACTCTTCAAGGGGTACCCGCTTCTTGTCACCGCCGCCGCCTTGTCCATTACCGCCACGCATGCGCCCCTCACCCATCTCACCTACTCGTACGGCGTCGTCTCTCCAATCGTCCACCATCTTCTTGAGCTGCTTATTATACTCGCGCTCCTCCTTACCTTCCCCTATAGGATCTCGCCCAAAGTCGTTGACGGTGTCCGCAGCAGCGCGGGCCTCCATGCCTGCTCGACGACACGTCGCATATGAGATAAGATTCACACCAAGAAGAACTTTTAAAGCGAGAAAACTAGACGGAGTAAGCTTTCACGAAACTATGACAACAAAAGAAATCCCACCATAACCAAAATGCCACTCCCATCACGGCCCACTTGAGTAAATGTACGACCTCGGCATTTGACATATCCATGAGAGTATCCCAGCCCCATTCATCTTCAAAACGAAGAGAAAAGACGAGAGTTAGTGACTGAAGACCAACTAGAATAACGACAACTGCAAGCGGAAGGGAGGCAAAGCCAAGTCGGCGGGCCACTAATGGTGATTGGTCAACATAGCTATGCTGCATTCGGTCAATGAGTGCAATTATGAGTCAAAGCCAAACGCCAGACCTTTCGAGCACCCAGGCGCCCTATAGCACTCCCACTGGCCAAATCACGACAGAGCACATCTGTATATCGTTCATATACAGATGGCCGTATGTGATTAAACTTAGAGATGAATGCGTGTTTCAGCCAGTCCACGAGGATCTCAGATGCCATCACAGTCACAACGGGCTGATCGAGCTTCGTAAGCGGGGTTGGGTGCAGTATCTCAATAACCTACGTAGGATATTGTCCATAGGATATTATTGCCCATGAACCAGCCAAAGCTCATTGGAAGGGCAAATCCACCTGTAAAGTCGAACTCAGATCCACTCAGCTCAATTAAATTGCGGAATGCAACAATGAGAAGCATGAGTGAGAGTGTAAACCGTTCCACAATATCCGCGCATGTGATCTGAAAGAGGTTGTCTTTCTCAAATTTCTTGAAGACACTTCCTTTGATCTCGACGAACTGATTCGAGACGAGAAGAGTTAGGAGTGCGTGGTCATATGAATTGACGGCCACATTGAGAGCTAGCAACTGGTAAATCATCACTAATGAGTGACAAACTAAAACAATGTTAATGGCGCGATATAAAGGCCTATTGACAAAGACTGACCCATGTAGAGAGTAGCTAGCCCAAAAAACACGAATGGGCGAAGCGTGTTAGACGTAACCGGCACTCGACGAGAAAGTACCTCGAGCGTCGAACGGGAAAATAGGCAGTCAAGGATATCCTGCCCTATCGATGCGCACAAGCGGTCAGCGATCTAGGACGGAAAAAGTTTAGTCATGTGCATCGGTTGAACCGAAATATAAACGAACGTACCTCTAATGCATTAAATATTACATATAGTTTGATGGTGTCTTGTCCGCGTATGGAGTGATAGATCTTACTGGCATCCGTGAGCGGAATCAACACCATGATGGAGACCACAAGCAGCATCATTCGAATGATGTCAGCTTTCTGTGATGGTGGGAGAGGCAATTTGGAGACTTTGAAGAAATTCAGGAAACATCGGATGGTCGCCAGGGCAAACCTGATGGGTAGTATCGTAAAAGTATAGAGGAATGAGTCTAAACAAAGTATGAAGCCAAAACCAATAATCTATGCTTTATGAGCACCGCATGTCACTCACATGAATCTATACGCACCTTTTCCATTGCCAGAGGAATACTCAGGAAATTGCTCACCCTCTCCCACTTCAACTCCTGATGCGAGTCAAAGTCAGTTGCGAGAAGCTCTTCCCATAGGTAGTCCCATAAAGAAAATAAAGGCTGGTCTTTCGGCAGCTCTTGACTCCGGGCTATCGGAGGTGGAGAGGCAGGCGGAGACGGCAATATAGGAGTTGTAGGGAGTGATGCATATGTCAATGGATGGACTTCGAGTTCGGGTTCAAGCATCGTCTCGCATTCAAGGTCCTGGTCACCGAGTGGTGCATTTATCGTTTTCTCTCCCTTTACGTCTGAACCGCGAATAAAATCATCATCAAAGTCGACGGATGAGGACCTTCTGCGGCGACCTCGCGAAACTGGTGTGGAAAGTGGTGAAAACTGCGCATTCCATGTCGCACCAATGGATGCGGAAGAGAAGCGTCTTCTTGAGCGTCGCGGAGAGGTAGCCATATGCCGCAAATATTATTCTAACTATTTGAATGACCTGGAGTTCATAGTAGTGAGAGGGCAAAGGTTCGTTAGCTATGCCATCAATACGTCTTGATATGGACATTATGTCATTCGGATTACCATGATGTGGTCTTTTTGGAATCATTTCTTCAAAAACAGATATCACACAAGCATGCAAAGCACACCAGAAATATTATCTTCCGCGATGGAGGGGAAATTTTGCGTGGATTGTCCTGAGGCTTACGCCGATCGATCTCAGGATAGGCCTGGTGGTGGTACGTCTAGCAAATCTAAATCTGACTGTTTGACTATTTTCTAACACAGGTACCATAGTCCTTTCCATCCCTTCCGAACTCATACATCACATACTCAAATACCTGGGGAATAAAGACCTGGTGAACACGGCAATCGTATCCCAAAGCTTCCGGTTCATTTCCCAGCGCGTGATCTACAGGAACGTCGAACCTGCCGAGGACATGATCATACCATGCCTCAGATGTTTTGCATCGTACCCGCATCTTGCATCTTGTGCTCGTACTCTGATCTTGGCTGATGCTACTCGACATTATGACGTTTTCTTCAATTACTTCAACCTGCTGCGTCGTGCGTTGCTAAACGCGTCTTCACTCACCGATCTTACAATTCTCCTCGACGGCCCTTACGCAAAATATTTGCATGGATGTTCATTTCGACTTCGTTCTCTCACTACAACACTCGACTGGGATAAGGACTTCATCAAATTAATTACAGAGCAGACGGAACTGCGCAATGCCATGTTCGGCGGAAAATTCGTAAATGACATGGTTCTGCCTAGCGACACTCTCACAAAGCTTACACGGGTCTCTGCGTCTCCTCTGGTACTGGCTGCAGTAGTTCCAAATCGAAAAATCAAGGAAGTGGAACTCTGTTTGCTGCATCAAGCGCTTTTCAAAGACGATATCCTCAATACTGCATCGAACATCCTTTCCTATTCTACCGGCCCATTGACCGCACTGCAGGTCATCACCCGTCTGAGCGACACAACGAGTGCACTTGCAGCATTCAAAGCGATCGCAAAGAACCTGCCAAAACTGAATTCGTTTGCCTTTTACTCGAGTGATGGAGTTGTCTCGCAGGTGCGCCATCTTCTACTTACATACAACATTTGCTCCAAGCATCTACAGGAACTTCTCGAAGCCTTTCCTGAATTCCTCTCCGGCTTCGAATGCCTCAGGTCGTTGACACTGATGTCGCGAAATAAAGCCGATGCACTACACGACAAAACTTTGACGGCTACCCTCGCGTCAAGGTGGCACGCATCATGTCCCTCTTTGCAAAGCGTCTCACTCGCGGGATCTATATGGCTGCATAACACTCGGCATGGTTGGGTGACGTTGGCAGACCTTGAGCGTCTCCTGCGAGAACGTAAGTGGCTGCTTCTGTCCCGTCAGAAGTACTGGACAGGTGCGGATCCAGGAACGATTTCGCTGGAAGAGGTGAAGAACAACATAGATGAGGTCGATGAAGATACAGAGCAGGGAAATCAGATGGAGCGGCAGATGATCGTGCTTCGTGATAGTATCCTCCAATTCGGTGGTCCTTGATAGGCGAGATCTCTTATGCTACGTATACATTCTGACGGGACATGCTGAGGTTGTAGGATAATAAATCAAGTCCAAGTGAGGTATGCCTTTTATTGTACTAAGTTGGACAAAATGTCGATATCTGTAATGTCGTCTCCTCTAATTCACCGCGTTCACTTGCATGCAGACTAAAGAGTACACGGGATGCCAACACACTGTGGAGGACAATTTGTGGTCTGTTATGATGCATCAGTTTTTTTTTTCATTGAACCATCCTGAATGATTTGCCACGCACAAGTCCAGCATCTCGTTATATGATGGCTGCCCAAAATTAGCAAAAATCGTCAAATGAGCGCATACAATGTGCAACTTACTGGCACCACAACCGTGATCACCATATTGGCCAAAGAAACGACTGGAAGAAGTGCTTTAACACGGGACATGTTAAATGGAATAAAAGGTCACCGCACAGATGATGGGAGCCATATACCACACTCCACCCTGGAAGACTACTCTCACCAGACGACTGTTACAGTCTCTGTAGTCCTTATATCTCTTGAACACCATTAAATACAACAGCACTAGGTGAATGGGAATGAAAAGTTGTGCTGTGATGGAATGGAAACGAGATATATCCTTACATATTTCGTAGGCTGCGAGAAAGCCATATTGAATGGCACTGCTGCGACTCGCTTCAAAAGTGCAGTTGCTTTTGGGGGTAGCTTGAAAAGCACATTTGTCGTCTACAAGGAAAGAAAAGGAATGCAAACCCACCTGAAGGGTTTGCGGGCGGCGCTAGGCCACTGACAAAATCTGTGAGACCGACACCACACCCAATGCAAATCTACATTACGATATCAACAGACGGCGGATATGAGCATGCATGACCAGATCAACGTACTGCTGCCAAGACTAGTAACACTGCCAAGAGCTTGTTGTTCTTTCTCCAGAACGCATATGTACGAATGATCAAAAGACCTGTATAAGAAAGAGGTAGATTTCAGGCCCAAAAAACACTACATATATGGAGCGAACCTTCAGATGATACAATAGTTATGATGTGAATTGCTGCAGTAAAAGTCAGTGACAAGATGCTGAATGTTCAGGATATCGATCACCATTTGAAGTCCTGCTAAAGTTTGTGCACTGTATTCGTCGTCCTTCAGTTCATACGGCAATAAACAAAACACACTGAACACTGACATTCTCATTCGCTCGTGTAGCAATGGCAGCTAGTCACTTGTCAATGTCACGTACCAGGGTATACGGGTAGCTGCTTACCATATGAAGTCATGCCAGCTGCTGCAAAGGCCATGTAGCGTGAAATTACAAAAAGAATACGAGTGATGTTCCAGCGCCTGTTCCATGTCCATCGAATCTTGTAACATTTGTCAAGAAATGTTCGAACTCTATAAAGAAAACTCACTTCAGGTTCGAGCGTTAAGAAATAGTCAAAAATCTACGGAGTATAAGAGGGGATATCGTCTATGACTTGTAGACCTACCAAAACTCCTAGACCGGCCACTGCATATATTCAGGATGAGAATGGTGTAAACCCCTGTATGAAGTCCACGTACCATTGAAATACTAGAGTAATTGCAGTCAATAGACTTGATCTAGAAATATAATCGGGAATTCTTACCTTCGACGTCTGAATTCCTGTATTCTCTATGGGTGCGACCATCGCACGCTCAGGCTCGTGCTATGTAGATAAAGTTACAGGACTCCTTCTTTTATATGCTTACATGATTTGAATTTGATCCAACTCATAACTTCCATTCGCTGTGCAAAATTTCAATAAACTGCACAGCTGCAGGAGATCAAAACAGATTATAGAACGTGAAACTGATGTGGTTGGCACTACTATTGGTTACGTGATTCACACTAATATACTACTGGCAGCCCGAAACACGATCTCCACCATTTCTCAACCGATTTGTTTGGTTTCACTTGAAACATACTATACTCAAAGAAGGGTTTCATCCGTGTAACAAACTGATAAGCTTCATTGATAATTCACATTGTAGTCTACGTGAATACTAGTGCACGATCACAACCCAAAGAAGCGTGTAACACACATATGCCAGTGGCCCAGTGATTCGATCATCGACATCATTGATAGTTCACATTGTAGTCCATGTGGATAGCCAAAAGTGCCCGTCCCGCCGCGTCCCAATTCAAGAACGACGGTCAAACCGCGCAAACAGGGAACATGACAACGGGCAAAGGTCATCATACCATCATAACACGACGAGTAGCCCAATCTCATGACTTGCTTCGCAGATGCAGTGTTCTTCACGAAAGGTGAGCCTGCCACGCACTTGCAGAATGTTGGTTAGTTCTTCCCATCGGCTTGGTACAGCTTGATCTTGCCACTTGCCTGTGCTTCCTAATCAGATGTGCCTCCTCTGTAACCAAGAACGTTATCAAAAGATACCGCATAAAAAAGATCGGAATAGCGGGAGTATGTCCATATGTCTCTATCTGGCTTCCTCTGTCGTTGAAGTGTGTACCATGACATGGCAACATCATGATGCCGCAGCTCATGCACACGCCTCGATGATATAAGAACACACATGGAATGAGTGGTATATTTTAGAGTCGAGTTCTAAATGCGTGGCCTAGTTCACGAGCGTGATAGCATTTCGCCATCCAGTGTGCGAGAGAGCGTGAGATCCTGCCGGCCACTGAAAGTAGTCGCGTAAGATGGTTTTAAAAGAAATTGTTTGCGATTTCGAGCGGTCATTGCAACGAAAATGTGATAAGTGGAATATGTACGGTGGTTTTCGAGATTGGAGAGCAGTTGGATTTCGACGAATCGACGATGTAAAGTATTCCTGCAATCCCTTTAAATTGACCGAGAGGTTGTGTTGTATGGCGCAGATGCAGTTTATTTTGAGACGCCGTGGGGCAGTACGGTAAGCGCTAAGTACAGCATCCGATCTGTCCGTGAAATTCCAAATATGATACTTATAAGTTAAAAATAAATTTTAATTTTCTGACATCGTCCAAGACCACACCACTTAAACATAAATTTTACGACCAACTCTTATACTCACCTTACAAACTGTCTAACACCTACAATTAGTAAAATCACGGCACGTCAGTCTGTAAACTCATAAATAGTATTATACGTTTAAGTCCTGTGGCCAATGACTAGGGTGATGAGGATGATTTAGCTTCCCTTTCATTCATATTGAAACTAGCGACTTACTTCTGTGCAATATCATTTTGGCTACAGATCCGTAAAGCCACAACTTGGCCACAGGCGTCTTCGATATGACACAATTATGGTATAACGTCCAAAAGTTATGACTCACCAGTAAGTGGCATCTCGCTGTGAATCGGTACTTTTGACTTCGTATGTCATTTGTTGGAGCAGTGGATATCATATGGCGGCAATTAGATACACCTAGTCTATTCATTTGATAATAGATACTACATTATAATCCTAAATGTGATGGCCCGTTTGTTGCAATCTGTCACATGAGTCAAGCTGTAGTAACCATAGATCAGTAGCCAAACTTATGCCCTCTCAATATATGTTTCAAACTATTTTTACTGTGGCGCATCTCTTGCACTTACTTCATTCTGATGCACGATTTCAATCTCAGGCAGTAATCACATATATTTCATAAACAGTGACGAAAAGTAAAGGTTTCCCAGACACCTCCAGGGTATATGTATTGGCTGTCATTCAATGTCTCAATTGTGTAGCCTCGCCATGTTACACAATTAGGTCTACATGGGGGATACACGATGCTATGGCAGCAATGTGCCGTGTGTGACAATTCCAGCTTCGTTTGTCACTCTAAATCCATGCCATTCATTTGCGTTTCTGTTCAATTTTGATTATTTTAGAATAGCTGCGCATCCATTATACTGATCCCACAATGTAAATTATTGTGTACATAGATAATACAAATAGGTAGTACATGCATTAGTAAAACGTATCACTGGCAGCGTCTGGCAGAAGTGTTAGCAACAGAGTATTGCGCTACATTCTGAGGCAAGTAAGTAGATACATTGCGAGCCCCAAAGACCTTTCTACAAAGTGTAAGAAATGTACGAACAACAGAAAGCTTACAACACACTCACCTGTTCCACCAAACAAGAAGAGAGTCGATGGAAGCTTTGGCGGCAGATGTAGGTGGATGCTTGAAGTAGTCGATGATGTAGATATAAAACTGACGATGATCAAACTCATCATCAACGATACGCCAGGCACCACAGCTTGATAAGGCAAATCGTAACTGGGATTCCAGGTCCCTTCAGTTATCATTGTGTCTAAGAAATTTATTAAACTTACTTGGACTGCTGAATAGGCGATGGCTCGCGGTTGAACTGAGCGCATTCCTAATATTGTCGCAATGTTGGACCGGGTGCGCCGTTCACCTGAGGTCCTAGACCGCTTGTGCGATGATTCCTGGTAGCCCAGGGGTTCTTCTTTGTCAGGTCGTATCTCCCCAGCAGAGCTGGGGGATGTAAAAATATGTTTGAAAGTCTGTGCCAATAGGTGAGTACAATACCTTGAAAGCAGATACTAATACCCACCCTGACGAGCCAAACACTTTTGAACAGCCCTTTCGTTGGGTTGTCAGGGTCATATTTGCTGTTACTATACAAAAATGCCGGCCATGAATGAGCAGTGACTTGGAAGTCAGGTTCGTAGTTTCGTATCCCTTCCTTCGTTCTATGGCTATAATCAGTATGAGGTGTAGTAAGCCGGTTAGTGAGGTCATACCTTGGATTGGCCCAATGGAAATCCACAGGACATAGAAGTTCCCCGGTCGCATCATGATAAAATCCACGTCCGGACTTGTCGACTGAAGAGATTGGTGGGTTGGGGGTAGGACGGCTCTCATTGAGCCACGAAGCCACTGTTTTCTTCAAAGAACTAGCATCATCGCCCCGTGCTGAATCGGCACCTTTATTGAGCTGAATTCAATTGGGTTTAAACATTGATGCGACTACTTGCATGACGGACAACTTACCTTTTGATAAGCAACATTGAGCTGATATCTGTCACTTTGAGAGTTGATAAGGCTGCGGACACATGGAACCCAGCGAAGTAGCTGTTGAAATGACTGATAGGTTCGTTCCTCCCTAGAATATTGAAAACAGGATCAAACCAACCGACTGAAGTACTCGAGCATAATACCCACTCTTCCGTGTGTTGGTCATCTTCATCACATAGAGCGCTCCTTCGATCGTGCTCTCCGATAAGGTCCTCAACCCTGTCAGTTAAGCTCACGAGGCGCCGGATGGCTCGGCCAGCGGGGACATATATATCACCATGGCTATTGGACATCAGCTGCGTCAGATACATATAGCAATCCATGTTAGTACAACACCTTTTGTTGCGATGGCTTTCTCCCTGCAGCTCAGCATTTTGCTCTTCTAGAGCAGCAATGCGCCGTTTGAGAGCGTTATGGGTTGCATTAGGTGAATTGTTGTCAGAAGGACTCGGAGACTGCGACATGGGTAATAGGAACTTGAAGGAAAAAACGAGGGTGATTGACGTACCCAAGATGAAAGCTTTTCAAGCACCAATATTTGAAATTGACGTGGAGCAAGATTTACGGATGTAGAACAAGATTTACGCTCATCAGAGCCGCTAACGGGAAGGACTGCAATGGAACCATGGCCAGATTACGATATGCGCGGGGACTAAAGTCAAATAATTAATAAAATGCTCCACTCTGTTTGAATGGAGCAGACCATGATATCGTTATATGGACCCTTGTGGCGTTTCCGAAAAGAACGGAAATGTGGTGTCAGAGCAAAGGGGTATTGAGCGCAAGCAAAACTCTGAGTTGGATCTCATTGCGGAACTTGTAGCGTCATTGTAATGTCATGGTGGGTCCATGCAAAGGCTCATCACTGACATCAAAGGTGGTCGTGGGCAATAACGAGACAAAGTCAACTAGCAGCAAACAATATCAGAACGATGGAGCGAATCGGAAGCAAGACTCACATCTGTTATACCTTTTGTTGCCAATTTGTCAGGCATTCCCAGCCTGAAGCGCGGAGCAACTGTGAAATAAACACTAGTATAAGAGTATAAGCCTGCTTGATGGTGAGGGACAACTTGAAGAGCATGTCCGATACACGTTTGCAATAGCAGTGCAGAACGCATCTAGAATGCAGGAGGATGCGAGTCGACGTATTCAAGTTTCATGACCAGCTGCCATATCCGAGACTCGACGGTTCCTGCCCTGGACGTTCGGACTTGCAGACTTGCCGTACATCGGAAGGAACTCTTACCAATTGATCTGCAGATCTGCAGTGCCAGTTGATGCGATAACTTGAAGGTTTTATCGATACTTATGGAAGAAGTCGGTTTTCTGGAAAAGTTCTGACCAACTTGCTGTCCCGACAATAACATTGTCCACGATGTCTGCTCCTATGTGATCTTGAGAATACCACAAAAGACAGAATTACGAGGAGGACACTCACCTTTCTTGAACTCTTCGGTGACAATCATCTGTGTCATTCCTAACGACTTCATCCCAATGTTGAGTAGACCGCGCCAATGTCTTTATCCTATCGAGTGCAGGAGCTGCTACGGGAAGGAGTGATGAATATAGCATTTGGACGAACGTTTCCGTGGGTCGAGGAAGCGGAATCGTTGAGAAAAGCAAGAGCAACCTAGCTCAGAAGGTCAGCAATTAAGGCCTGAACGCAGACGGGAAGAACAATTCTGACTGAAATTTGGTGTAACCCCCAAATCAGCCAGTCCTCTCGCTCGCGTGGAACATTGGAGGATGATTGGGATAGCGCAAGGGGTAGAGGGCGAACCCTTTCAGTCGTGATGCAAATGGCTGAGTCGGATTCTACGACATCGATGTATCTAAGTACGTCTGGATGTCGTATGGTGCGTAGCTTGCGGAGGGAGTTGCGCGCGAGGGGTATGGTGGACTTGTTCAAAGGGTGGGTTAGATCATACTCGAAAAGGAGCTAGAGTTGAAAAAACGCAAGTCAAATGTGCAACAGCCTATCGGGGACTCACGACTCGGACTCGGAGTGACCATGAACACCGTCTGCGTGCACCATTCCGGCAAATGCCGGAGATGTCATAAACCTCAGCCAAATCGGGATATGTACGAATCAAACGTACAACGTCAACCATATGATGCCATATGATCATATACCTTGCAGATATTCTCGGCCTAAATTGTACATTCATGTATCGCGTCTCGACACTTTGCAATATAATCTCCATACTGCCACAAACTCATACCATCACTTGTTCTGCAATTCCAGGTATCATGAGAGCTCTTGGCCGTCACAACAATACGATGATCATCGAGACCGTCGTGCTCCTGCAACCATTTTTCTACCCTGCCAACTTCCTCTGTTACACGCAAAACCAATACCTTCAGGTGAATGCAATCTGCAAGGATCATTTGCAGCAAGGCTGGTGCTGTCCGATCAGTGAACAGTCGAAGGGAAATATGTGTAAGTTGCGTTAGGCAATGTATGCCGATTGGGGAGCCCCAAAGCACCCAACCTTCCAACAAGTCAAGGTGGGTGACTTTGCTGAATAGAGAGATGGATGGTAGGAATGGCACGTCAGTTCTATGGAAGACGGTCGATAAGTGGATAGACAGCCGTGATAAAGGTAGCTTGTTTAATGCATCCAATAGGTGATCCAGCATGTCATGATCCCCCTCTGGCAGAATCCAGAGGGTGAGGTCGACAATACCACTGCACAGTTGTATGACCTCTACCACAGTGGTGAGTTGCACCATACCGCGAATACAGAGAGATTTGACATTCACAGAAGCAAACACTGGTCGAGAACGAAGTGAATCAACAAAAAGGCATGCTCGTGCCTCACTGGCAAGGACAACGGTTCGATACATCAATCCTTCAATCCTATTACCATCTTGTAAGTCGCAACTGAATCCAGCATATCTCAGGACTTTTGCCTACCAGTCATGAACTCTGGGGGCGACCAATAAATACGAGTGCACATCGTTTGCAGGATGGACGCCTGCTGCAAGTTGAAAGACTGTCCTTTCGATCTCGTGTGGCAAATGGAGCATATTATCAGTGCAGTGTTCAAGACCGAGTTACAGGTTTGGAATTTCAAGTTAGAAAGGTGCCACTGTCTGACACGATCCTCAGGCCGATCTGGGGCCCGTTGGCCTTGGTGTCACTTCATCAAATCCGAGTACGGTTGACGTACAGCTTACCACGTTCGGAAAATCTAATATGTAAGAACAGAACATCTGATCATGCGGAACCAATTCGCGTCCACCTCGCGTTCGCGCTCCACCTGAGTACCACCTGTTCATCTCTTCCCCATACAGCATATGCAAAACTTACGCTAGTCAGGTCGCCGTGAATCATGTGCTTGGAAATGTAATTGATGCTCCACGAATGATATCATTAGGGTGGTAAGAGGTACTACTAGCCTGACTTGGAGGATGAGGTAGCGATCAATTGTCAGATATCTTTCACAATGCCTTATGATCCTGATAAAAGCTCTGAACATAGCTCTCGAGGCTCTAGTCGCAATGACAGTGCTTCACAAATCCTCGGAGTCAGAGACTCACCAGATTCTGAAAGATGGCATTTCCCCGCAAATGGTCAAGGAGCATCAGCTGATTCGCAAGGAAACTACATATACAGTCAAGCCTGCTCTCAATCAAGAGCGAAACCAGGTCTCGATGCTCAGGAGACATTGGATTCCCAAAGGTCACAATCACCAACGCACAACACGAGAGAAGATGCTGAGCAGGAGGTAATATTTCCTAATACCATGTGACGAAATAACTCATGAGCGTTCTTGTTACCAGCATGAAAATTTTCCTGTCAATATTCCACGGACAATTTTGAAACGTGCCTTGTCAAGCGACTCGAGCCTTGGCTGCAAATCTAACAGGCTGCAAGTGAGTCTCATCTGAGGTCTTGTCTCAAATTATCGCATAGTACTAATCAACCTCAGCATGAAAAGGCTCAGAGTCGCCGGGACTTTGCTCGCGATATCACAAACTCCTCACAAGTAGAACTTCCACCTGCAAAGAAGCGGTGTACCACCGATAACGGGGACAAAGAGAGACTCGCTGGGTTAGGAAAAGAAATCGTTATGATACTCCAAGAGCAAACTGCTCTCCTAGCACGTGTATTTGAAGCAGTGTCCCAGTGACCTAATTAACCCTTGATATCATTCGTGCACCTACATCTTGAGACAAGTTGGGCTTAGTAAGCTCAAGTGTTGAGTCATGACTAACAGATTTAGCCTTTAAGCATTAGTCCTCCACAGTCTGCGTTCAGTCTTGATCTGTGGTGCAGATATATCGCCACCATGAAGTTGAACCTCACCACCATAACCATGACATGGAGCACAAGAAAGCAGGATTTCTCCTCGGGTGTGTTCACTGCACCATTATGGCCCTCGGCCTATGGGACTCGGGTCGCGCTGTCGCGTTCGTTCTTGGTGAGTACTTGTATTGTATCGCTAAATTATCTCTGATGTGCTTGGAAAGGTTGCAGAATCGGTGTTTTGCTTCGCATGTTCTGGGTAATGTCTGTCCTCGTGTATCGCACTGTCAGAGGTGAGCGATCGGAGAAGATCAGCCACGGGTACATCATGTTCAAACATGATGCAGAGACCCACTTCGTGCCTCCTCCTGAATACACTGACGAGAATCCATTCCTTCCCCTTAAGCACTTCATCTACAAACTTCCTGTTCATTCGCTAAACAAGCTCGAATCCCTTGCTCTGGCGTCCCATGACCTTACAATTTCGCCTGCTGTTGGCGTCAGTGGCTGGGGCACATCATCTACCGCAGTCGCCCCTTCATACGCCCAACGAATTTCTTGTTCCTCTTCGAATCTGGAAGCACCTCTCTCACACTCCAGTTCAGAGCCCGTCTTCCTTAGCTTTTGCGGGCGATCGTCCAGCCATCCTGGATCTGTGCTTGAAGATATGTTTCTGGACCAGATGCTCTCGCGCATCTTAGATCTCTGATTCCAACTCGCAACACTACTGCAATTGATCACCACGAACGTGCCATACCATAATTTCATACATTTCATTTGGGAATGCACTAATCTACCCATTCTGTACTAGTATCCGCCGCCTGCAGCACTGTCAGTTTAATATACAGTGTCTTATGCTCTGATCTGTGTGATCGTGGAGTGGTTAGTGTTTGTCGAAGTTCCTGCATGAACTTTTTTACCTTCTGAGTCTTTCTATGTGGGCTCTGGCTGCAGCGCATTATTGTGTCGATGACATGAACATAGAAATTCATGATCATCAGAGGGCACAGGTTGTAAAATATATGAAGGCTTTCTGGAGAGACGATGCACATATCATCTAGAGTCTTCACTCCCATCAGTTTCAAAGGGGTGAGGAATAACTCTGGCCATTGCCGCGCCGGCTCATCATTACTGAGCTGCTCCATAAAAGCTTCCAAAGTGGGATATGGAATTGATGGTCGGTTTCAATCTCCACATCGATGAGTATGCTTGAAGTGATAGTAGTTACTGACATGGGTCGTGATTATAGAGGAACAATGACTTGGATTCAGACTTTAATGCGCGGCTGTACTCACCATGGCATCTTTATAACAGAGCTTAGGGTACTACAAGCTCCAAGGATGCTACAAGCTCCGATCCTAGGGCGCAACATGATGCGACTTGGCAGTGACTCGGACTCAATGCGACTCAGTGAACTCCGATCAACTTACGCATGGTTCACGCTAAGCTTAATGTAAACTAAGAAGCTGCAATATATGGTCATGTATTAGCCTCACCAGTTTGATCTGAGTCATCACTAGTTTCTGGGGTATTCAAGTGATCCAAACTCCACGGGTCTTGGCCGATTGGCACTGCGTCGTTGTGTCATGATTGGAGTTTTTGTTTGTTGACTAAATGGAGATCAATTAGATAATCGCACGCACCTTTACCTGCCAGTAATTGAATAGGCCTTCAGCCCAATCGCAATCGTCATGTCCACGACACAGCACAATCACTATCAGGAGTCATTCCTCACAATCCCATAGCCCTAAAAACAACAGCCAGGGCAGGCCTACTTGCAAAGTGAAAGTTATCGAACGATACAAGCAGCCTCCAACCAGGTTAGCAACGAGCTGGGGAGAAAGCCGGCGACCAAGGACACTTCTACATCTCAAGCCACCCTCCGTGAAGTCAATCCAAATTTGACCAAGGCTCCCATTACTGCACGACACAAGGTGCTTAAAATTTGTCTCACAATCGAATGGTGAGGCAGATTGCGAGGTATGTCTGTGCGCTTCAACATATCATTTACTTAATCATTACGTTGCCAGGTATTTCAAATATCACTCAAGCGGACTACAATTATATATCTTGCAAAATCGAAGACTACCCTGCAAGACCAAGGTAAACATATTCCAATAATTTCTTTCGAGTTATAACATACAATTCTTCTAGGTTGGAATACAACTGCAATACCCATACCCTTGTCATTGAAATGCCATCCCCCGTACAAGGCTATAATCAAGGTTATCGGCAAAGGATTGGAACGTCTAGACGATTATTTGCAGGATCTCATGGTCAAGAATTTACTGTCCTCAGACACCCATACTAACTTGACCATTGACGGGAACTCGGTGAAATGTGTCCCTGATGTTCTCCACGTGGTTACTGCCCTCACCGACCCCCCATCCTAAGCACTCCTGTCATGGGCGAGGTGGCTGTATCGCAGTCCAGAGCTGATCTACTGCAGAGGCTCAGGGACAGGGTCGAGGCATTCCCAGATATCATCCTGCTCTTCATGGCCGAGATCAATGAACGCGTCACCTACAGCCAACCCAAGCATATGAGCAATGCGTGGCGAAAGCTACAAAAGGATGAGAATGCTCGCTCCCGCACCACCTTCCTTTCCAACCGCACTGGACCAAGATCACTCGATGTACCTGCTGAAATTGAAGTTGAAGGGCACGTCTGGCATGCAATGTCAAGCGTGCATTTCCAGGTCTGGGTGCAAGACGTCAATGGGCGAATTGACATAGACACGCAGAACCAAAATCTCACAGCATGTGGCGTAAGTCCCACCGGCACTAAGCGATTCGTGACTGACCATACTTACAACAGGAATTATTTCCGAACAAATCAATGGACAATGTCACACTCATGATGGAGAGGGGACTGTCCCGGATGAGGGAACAGTATGCACAGCTGTCCCAACAGGTCAGCCCAAATGTTGACGTTTCGGCCTTGCTGGCCGCGCCTGTCACTCTCCCCTTTGGATGGGATGGGATGCTTTCTAAGCTTGCCCTCGCAAGTCTGACAATGGCTCATGATCGTTATAAGCATTGGCATAGTGTGATGGCACGCAGTAGGACAGCCAAGCGCACGGCAGAGGAAGCATTTGATGCAGGGCCAGCCAACAACACACGTTCACGCACGCGTGCTCGCACTGCTGCACTTGTCCGGGGCCAGAGCTTACCATAATATAGTACCCACAGGTAGATGCCTGCTGCTAAACCCACCTTGATACTCATTGTCACTCAGTCCTACCATTAGCATTCATCGTCATCTTGTACTCTAGCACACCATTTTCAGATACCCGATGTACCATCACATTGCACTCGTGTGCGATGCTTTCTTGAATTGATACAATAGTTGTATTAGCCCTTTTGCCTTTGGCATCGACACAAGACACAACTCTGAGTTCATTCTTTGCGAGTTTTACATGACGTACGTAGACATATAGTATTTGAGGTCGATATCACGTTGCAGTGACGCGCTACGGAAGTGGAGCTATTACATAGAGTGGCAGTGCTGCTAGTACTACACCTACAGTTCTTGATTATTGACCACTTCACTGCTGACCTGACGGTCAACTGCTGGGAAATGATCGACCTGAAATGAACATTACTAGATCTACCCTCTGCATACTTCTGTGTCTGACTTTGTGTCTTCTGACGATGGACCATCACCGCTGGGAATGTGGGCCGCCCTGTCCAGGCAAGTTCTCTGACTACACGGGGCTCGGTCGACATCGTAGGACTTGCAACCATTACAAGCACCGCGTGGATTTACAAGCCCAGAATTTCAAACGTCGAGCTCGTGAAGACCCCCGGCACGTTAAGGTGTTTAAGAAAATGAAACCCTCCATAGCGGATGAAGACCAGGTACGTGATACTTATTTTATCGTCCATGGGTAACAGACTAATTAGTATCCAAGACCTTAGTGGCTTCATCCTCAGGCATCGATTTAGAGCAGTCAACAATCAACCATACTTTCCAGATACTGGATCAATCCAACAGCATCGCTCCTTCCCCATCCACCAACAATTCAATTGGCCACAATCCAACTAGTTCTCCTCCCCCAGACCCTTCCACCACTCTGGACTGTGATCATAATTCACGCCCAAGGCGCATGCAGAGACTCCCACTGCGATATAGGGATGAACTTCCAGAAGCACCACTACCTTTTGCTCAGGATCAGCCAACCTCGCGTCCTACCCGCATAATTCTTCATGTTTTCGACTCTATCTGCACATTATTCAATAAGTTTGGCATTGCCCGCCAATATCGTCATCGCCCTTCATATGATCCAGATGCATTTGTATCGGCAGATGAACTCTCCAACATACGTCCTGCTGAATCCCATACTAGTGACCGCAGCATACGGGATGGTGAGGTGCCCTCAGGTGACCCTTCACGTCCACGGCACCACCTTGGCCTTGGAAAAACATGTCAGTCTGGAGGCTGATGTCGTGGCTGGTGACAGGAAGCGATCGGAAGTCGATGACAGAGGCCAAACGTCTGGTCGATGACGTGATAAAAGCGGAGGATTTCAATGTCAATGATTTCGAGCACTTCGACCCCAACACTCAGATGAAGAATTTTGATACATCTATAGATCACGCCGACACCTTGGACATTCTGCACGAGATGGTTGGAAGCAGACAGACGTGGA